AGACAGGGTCCTCAGGCAGGGCTTAAGCCTATTTTATTCTGACATCATGTCTATCTAAGCCTATCTATCTTGACTTGCCACATTTATAGCAAAGCTATTTGTCTATGGTGTTGGGGTGGTGATGGTGCAGTGGATAAGACACATGCCTTTTGGTGCAAGAGACCCGGGTTCGAATCTACTGAGACACCAATGTGTCCCTGAGCAAGTTGCAAGCGTCAGCTAAATATGTAAATGTAAGATGTCTTCTTCAGTGGTACAGTTAATGAATATTTATTTTAGCCTTTGAGTTATGAGCTACAATATATCACATTTTCTATTTTCAGAGGGCACTGCCACTAAATTTTAAAATAGTTTTGAATTGTTTCCACCATTTAACCTCCTCACACCGCACTGCTGTTTTAAGCCATGGCTGCTTTAGTTGCCTTTGTGATTTATTATGCTGGTATGAAATGGCAATTGAACAGAGAAAGTCACACAGTAACCAAGAAGCAGCCTTTTTTTTTTAAATTCTAGAAGCATATTTACCCAGAATTCCTGGAGAGAATGTATATGAGCTGTTCTAATTTGAATGTAGGCAGCTACCAGACTACAAATCGAATGAAAAGAAGAAGAATAACCACAGGAGTTTTTTGCTCTTTTCTCCAGGCATTCTCCAGAATCTCAGAATAGTTTGTGAGAATAATAAGCAGGCTTTTTTTTTTTTTTACTGCAACAAAAATGATTTTTTTTTATTATATTTAACATGATGGATTTGTATCACAAAGTATTCTGGTGCACACTGAAAATTAACAAACCAAAATATCATCTTTTAAAATCAAATGTGTAATTAAGCCCTTTAAAAAAAATTTATCTCTTATTTAAAGTTGCTATATGGAATTTTTTTCTTCTAAAATGAATCCGTTTTTTTATTGCCTGTGTGTGAAGGGGTTGTAATCACATATTACAATCATCCACTTGTCGGGTTTTGCCATTACCTCTGAAGGCCAGTGTTCCTATTTCTATATTAAGTGTCAGATTTTCTGCGAAATCCATTGGATGTGACGTGTATGCGCACTCCCGAACCTCTCTCTTTTTTATATACAGTCTATGCGACGGCACTGCAGCTAACGACAGTCTGATAACACCAAAAAATATTGATAATGGAAAAATAATGGAAATAATGGTAAACTGTAATGAAATAAGAGATAAGAAATAAGAAAAAAAATGAGATTTGATACTGAGTGACTCTACACAGCCACAGGTATCGAGTGGAATGGTTTTAAGTGTTTATTTAAAGCCAAGGATAAACAGTCTTTTAGGCGTTTATGCTTTAATAAACAGTGTAGACAAGAAGCGCTAATGACAGAATACCCTTCATTGAGATAATTATGTCAGTAATGAGCTGATGTTATAACATAAGCAATGCTGAGCAGAATGAACAAAACCAGTCAGGCATGTTATAAATGTGGAGGGTTCTAATGTCCCAATATGAATCTTTGTCTTTTATTTTAAAAGAATTTTAATATGATGCGTAGTGTACAGATGTGTGGCAATCTATCTTATGAATGGTTCTGTTGCAAAAGAGAATATTTTCTGTTTTGCAAAGGATCTCTAAGTCGAATTTAGCCTAAGGCCACATTCTCTTTAGTGTCAATCCTGATGAACTGCTCCCCACACAGCCTGGCATCACTTCAAATCATAATCAAAATTCACTCTAAGGTCAATGGATTTTTCAGAGAAAAAACTTGTGATATGTTTTCTTTAGGACATTTTCAAGGTAAACACTTGCACATGAAAATGCAGTAAACACCGAAAGCCCCATGAGGAAATGCATTTTTATTTTAGCCTGCTGTCAGATACGAAAAGGACTTCATTCATAGACCAGCACTGTACAAAATCATGTAAAATTAAAAAAGCAAACAACAACAACAATCAACCTTGCAGCTGTGGTTCACAGTAATTCGCATTCACATAAAAAGACTGTGATGATATATCACATTTTGCTTGTAAATACAGTAGATCACTAAACAAAAAACAAACAAAAAAATAGATAAATAGACATATTGAATAGATTTTAATTATAACAGAAAATTAAGTCAAATCTTCTGCTAAGAACAAATGGTCCACTTACATACAAGGGCTGTCCCAATACCTACACTTGTGGTCTTTGTACTTGTCAACTTGCCTACATGATGTACTTACTGTATTTGGCTAAGTGTTCAAGTAGGTGTTAAGGTCGCAAACATAAAAAAAAAATGATCTGGCTGCATCTCTGTTCTCCCATCTGCGCTTTTTTGGAATTACATTCTCATGCTAATTTGCCCTGTTTAATAGATCTGGCCCCAAAATGTTTGTTTGTCTGTCTTAATGTAACAGATATCACAATTTAATTATGGTGCTTCTATCTATGTGACAAAAAAGCAGTTTTAGTTACACATTTAACAAAATAAACAGACTCATGTCTGCACCAATACAATGTTACACATTTCAGAGGAGGGTAGAGTATCCAAAAACTGTACTCAGCGACTTGCATCATCTGCATCACTGAACGCGGCTTTACATCTGCAAAGTCGGAAGAGAATACAATGCTGAATAAAGTCTTAGTTTTTGTTATTTTTGGACCAAAACATATTTTTGATGCATAACTAACCCACTGATGTCACATGGACTACTTTGATGATGTCTTTATTTCCTTTCTGGACAAGGACAGTATTATATACATTTTCAATGGAGGGACAGAAAACTCTCGGACTAAATCTAAAATATCTTAAACTGTGTTCCGAAGATGAACGGAGATCTTGGGGTTTGGAGCGGCATGAGGGTGAGTCATTAATGACATAATTCTGGGGTGAACTAACCCCTTAATAGTTACTTAAGTAAGAGTAAAAAGTATCCAGTGTAAATACTCAACTAGCTAGTTATGTACTTCAGATCATATAGGCCTACACACGCACACACACATATCCGATGGATTTCTGTTGAACATGCTGGTCCCTCTGTAATGGACCCATCAGCCGCTTCAATTGGGGTTCCCCAGAGGATAAGGTGTCGATAGCAGCATCGGAGGGTGAGCTGGCCTCTGGAGATGATGACTCGGTGGTGTTATCTCCCTCTAGAAGGGTAACGTTGCCTGAGACAGATCCAGAAATGGGTCACTGAGGCTGCCAGGCTCGTGTGTAACACTCCACCTTGTCCCATTGGATTGTGGGTTGGATTAAGCTGTTTTCCTCCACCTCTTCTGTTTTCTTGACACACATCATGATCGTCAGGTTCCTGAGGGAGCAAGGGAATCTAAAAAAGCCTTGCATCCCTTTTCCTCTTGGGCTTTATCTCTGGTGCTACTGCTACTGCAGGTAGTGAGTTAAAATTCTGTTTTTAAAAAAGCAATTCTCCAGCACGCATGGTCTCTACTAGAGGGTAGGGACTTGGTCAAAGAGTTGTGCCTGGAATTCAGCCGGTTAACTCTCACGAGCATGAGACTCCGGCCTGGATATGTGCCCAAGGTTCCTACCTCTCCTTGGGACCAGGTGGTGAGCCTGCAAGCACTGCCCCAGAGGAGGCAGACCCAGCCCTGGCTTTCTCTGTCCTTTCGCTTCATTGCGGTTATACATGCAAAGAACGCAAGCCTTAGGACCTCAGACCAGCTCTTGTCCGTTATGAAATCAGAGGGAAGGCTGTTTCCAAGCGAGGTTGACCCCCGAGGTTGGGTTAAAATCCCGAGATGTGTCCATTTGGGTGGTGAGCTCCTCTTAAGTGAGTGTGTGCTCCCGCTTAGGCATTGACCCAGAGTGCTTCGCGGACAGATATTCTAGAGTTGGGGGCTTGGGCGACACCTTAATCGAAGCGCTGCTTCCCACGGGACGTGGCGGAACGCCCGGTGTTAGGCCTACCACTCATGAGCAGTATGGAACCTGAGTTAGGCTGGGTCCATAAGTTGCGATCCCTACGGTGATCCCATATGTGTATTCTTCCATTGTACGGCTCTCTGCGACGAGCCAATGTCCAGGTTAAGTATTCCCCTGTCATGTGGAGTCACTCCAGTGACATTCCATATGTTGTACTGCCCGGTCATCTGCCCAGTTCATATGTGTATTCTACATGTGTTACCTCCCTTCGGGCAGGATGTGGCTTCCGCAGCGTCCCTTCCTTCTATGTACAGGGAATGCTTTCCCAGTGAGCCTGTAGGAACAGCAGTGACTTCCCTGGCCTAAACCTTGTCCCTTCTCAGCCTTAAATTGCGGGGGTTTTTTGTGTCTAGGGACTGGAAGTTGGCGTGTTCAATGGTTCATCCCCATTCAGTTGACGTCGACTACGTCTGACATTCTCAACTGAAAGGGAATAACATGGTTGTATATGCAACCCACCGTTCCCTGAAGGAGGGAACGGTGGATGTAGTTCCCTTGCCACTACTGCTGGACCATCGCTGACTCCGAGTTACGCTCAGCTCCTCAGGAAAAAAGCAACTAGTGCGTGTATCAATTTCCATATTTATACCCGCGCCGCAGGGGCAGAGTGTATGATGTAAATCACGCAAGCCAATTCCATTGGCTCGTTCAATAGTACTCGAAGACGATTGGCTCCCTAACGTGTTCCCCATTCTGTTAACGTCGACTACGCCCTCCATTCCATCCTTCAGAACGGTGGGTTGCATGCAACCATGACGTTTTGATGGAAGGATTAATGATGTATTTTCTCATTACTTACATTTTGTTAATTTTGATACCTTTGAATTTAAAAAATAATCAATCAGATAAAATTGTCAAATGTTATATCATGAGGAAATGTTTTTCCACTCTAAAAGTATTTTACTTAATAAATAATCACTATAAAAATAGCTGTTTTTGCCTTGTTGAATCCTGACTTATCTAATTCAGCTTCATTTTCTTTCTGATCTTTCTTATTTGCGCACTGTTGTCTTATTATCTTTCCCAGCTTGTAAAGCAACTACTGCATAAAAAAAAAGCAATCCAGCCAATACTCCAGCAATCCAGCCAATGGAGCACAGAGGGGCGGAGAACGCTCTGCAATTGAACTAAAGGACCGCAGGCAGCTGTACACGAGCGAGCATCCTCTATTCTACACACGCGCCCACATCACACAGTCAATGGATTACACCTTCTCTCTCCAAGTGCAACACCATCTTACCGTGTACCCGACACACTTTTGCGAGGACTATAGCTTGGAGTTACAGGTAGGCTATGATTTAAAAATTAAGTCAAAGTCGCGTGATGAGCGCGGCTTCAAACGAACCCTTCTCTCGACACTCTTGGAGATACTTGTTAAACATATGAAAAACATTGCCAGACCAGATATCTCGTACTCTAAAATATGGCAGTGTTATAGCCTACTTTCTCAGATTTCATGACGCTGTTGAACGCTGAACGGCAGTTTTAGCGCGAGCTCGATGACTGCCGCGTGCTGTGATGTTTACATGCTAAGGGACGTAGGAACTGTAGTAGATACACTTCATAGTATCGGAATTGCGTTTAATTTAGAGATATTTTAACAATATAATTTTCGTATGATCTTTATTGCAACAAGAAGCAAGGATGACCCTGATAAAATCAACATATTGGTGGCATGGGGCAGAGGCACTGTTGACATTGCTCTCGGTTTCGTCAATCTCACAGCTGTTTCATTTACTGCAAATTATCAATTATGTATCACTGTACAGTCCCGGGAACCCTGTTGATGCAGACAGTGTCAATTTTCGTCTAGTGGGCTTTGATCTTCGTTTTTTACCTGTTGTGATCTGGCTGTTTGATTGTTGCAGCGTCAACCTTTGACTAAGGATTTAAGTGCCCTGGCCAATTGTTGGAGAGTCATATATCTTGCTAACTGGGAAACCAATTGATTTGGACGTATAATATAAAATGTACAGTTTTACAGTGCACTAGGGAACAAATTACAATAATTTAATAATTTAAGTAATAGTTATTTTTCAGAATCCTTACTGGCTGAATGATCTTGCTGAGTGTAGCTACAGTACACAAACACATTCAGTGTACAGAACACTGAATGTAGCTACTAAGGACTGGATCATAATGTTTCATAAACTTTTGAATTTTTTTGCAGCCTTTGTGATCTCTTTCAATAAAAGCATTATGCCCATAGTCATATGTATTTAAATGCATGCATTTTATCATTGATGAATTTTGACTGTTATTTGACTGTTTATTGCAAAGCATAAATGTGACTTGTTTGCATTTTTTTAGATATTGTGCTAGTATAATGCACATGCAGACATTTTTTTTAATTCTAAGTATGTTACATGTAAGTATTCAACTATTTGTTCTTTTATTTTTAGCCTTTGAAAGTGAAGCTGTTCCTTTAAAGTTTCTCCTCCAGGTGCTGCTTAGATCATCTTATTTTGGAACAATGGTAGCATACCATTTTCTCTTTCATATTCCTTGAAGTACAAATACGTGACACAAAAGCAGATGTCTTTTTGTAATAAGTAGCTTCCCTCTTGTTTAACCCTGGATGTGTGCTTTGTCTGCCCGAGATTTCAGTTGATGTTTGCTGTAGTTAGTCAAGTAAAGAGCCATATCTTATTCCTCTATTTTAGACTAAGTTTGTATAGTAAATTGTGTATGTTATAGAAAATTATAATATTAGGGTTAAAGATGAAAAATACATGATGATGAGTGACACTAAAATTAATTGTGTATTTTAGCCACTCACTGCTGTACTGCCTAACATGCTAGCTAATAAGCAGTTGTTAGGTAAGTTTTCTTGACACTTTTTTTCCTGCAGAGAAAATAGGCTCATCTTTAATTTCTGGTAATATAGCGTTTACAAATTAACATTCTCTGCCTTCAAGCTAGCCAGTGGAAAACAGTACAAAGAGAGAGGAATACCAGATACAACAGCATCACTTTTATTGCATTCATGCATTATAGATGCGTCATATTCTGAACTGTCCCACTAAGTGTGCTTTTCAGTGATAAGGGAGTAGAACAACTTCAAAGTTTGCTCATTTGACCATTATTTCCTGTCAGGATTCACATGTGTGCCTCCCTGCCTCATCCCATGTTTTTAAAATTAAGCCATTTTTTCCCCCTCAGTGTTTGGGGAAATGAAATTGCACAGCTACTGTAGGTGGAAGGTTGGTTTAAATTTTCAGAAAATGTTCATCCCTTGCACCACAAGATGGCTCTGTTAGTGTAGAGTCACCTATGCTCAGAATGACCTCTGGATGGATCCTTTTTTCTTTTTTATGACTTAAGCCTGCCTAACCCAACAGATGCATTTTCTGTTGAGGTTAGTTTTGTGTACTGTCCTATACCCAAAGTAATGGGCTGCTTCGGAGTTTGTTTACTGAGTGATAAAATTGCCATAATTAAGATCGAAAAGGGCCGTTGTTTAGATCACAATGTATATCTTCGCAAATATCTTTTATAATAAGAGCAGTTTTGTGGCATAAAACACAAATTTTACAACACACAAAAAAGAAAAGGAAAAAAATGAGCATCATAATTTGCCTCCCAGGACTTCTGAGCCAGAAGTGACAGTCCATTGACTCTCCAATATTGTTTTTCCACTGGGAGGGACAAAACCCACACTTATGGGGAAGCTTTTGTTGAGGAAAATGCCTTGCCAAAGCCCAGGGATATGATATTATCTTTCGCCATCTATCTCCATTTCTGCTCACAGGAATTAAGTAGCAGAGCTCAGATTTAGACTCGCGGCAGTATTTACAGCAAGTCTTACAGCAATACTAGCTATGCTCAATGCATGTGCTGATAAAAACCTCCTTTTTTAAGTACTACTACCAGACATGTTCTTATTTGCCGAAAATAGTCATTTATTTTGTAAAATGGGTAGGAAAAACTTAGTAGTTGTCTCAACATACTGCTTATTGTCTTATATTGTTTATAGGCAGGAAGGGTTGTTAGGTTTTATGGAGTGTCCTTTATTTGAACCAAGTCCGTGGGGTCCTAGTGTGATGACAAATTAGTTTTCTCATTTAATCTAATTTATAATATATATTCCACAGAATGTGTTACTGAGTAAGGCATGTTTGTTGTGTGGCTTCACACTGAGGGTGTGTATTCTTAGCTGGTTTTGAAAGCACCCTGCAGATAATAAAGGTGCAAAATGGTAGCTCCAAATTAAATGGCACAGTGCATAACCAGTGGTGGTGTTCAAGGTCATTTTTTGTCCTTATATTCAGTGAATGGTTGAGAAGCTTTTTTTTCTTCTTTTTTATTACCTTCTGTGACATTCCAGATATAAAAAGACAGCATTGTAAATACAAATGTCTGAAACACTCAAAACAATCCAACAAGAAAGTTTGGTTTGTGAAAGTGTGAGGTTGTGTTAGGCATGTGTACCTATATCTTTCATGTAGTTTTAAAGAACTTTTTTTATGTCACCATGTTCCATACGTTAACTGTCAACAGGTTCCACATAATTGGTTTACATTCAACATCATGTAATTAACCCAATTAAACTGAGCATTTTGATATAATGAATATGTTAAAACACAACCAACACATGACATTATTACCATAATGTCGTCATGACAATGGCGGTATCAATAGAAACCGAGGATAGCGCGCATATTGACAGGCGACATTTTTTTTTTTACGGAGACAGACACTTATTTAAAATTGGAATTTGTCTGGAATAAAAAAATCTTTGAAGACTTTTGGGATATTGTAAGTACACAACTGCAGGACACATGCAAAATCACTGTGCAAGTGATTTTTTTGTTGTTGTTGATATTTTATCTTACATATTGTACCTTTAACAAATAAGTAATGCCAAACAAGATTTTCGAAGAATTAAAAAGGCACATCTTACCCTGTTATTTTCTCTGACTTCGGGCTATTGGCTGATTCATAGCTCAGGTGTGAGACTTATGTGCTCTTCCACCTCACTTACATTACAGCATTGGAATGATGTTTCCATATTATGCAGTGGAAACTGGATGAAGATTCAGGTCACTCTGTTAAATGGTAATACAATTTATTGCAAAAAATCAGAGTATAATAGTGTGTATTTGTTATGCCTCTAATGGCGGCCATACATTGTGCGATTTTCGTCCAATTTTAAGACGAATTCTGACTCGTGCGACTCCTTTTCGTATCGGACGTATTTTCAGCTTTGTCGTGCGTCGTTTATACAGGGAGAAACAGAGGCGATTAATCTCTTCCCATCGACAATCGGATGGTTTGATGAATTTCTGGCATGTCAGTAATCTTGGTCGCTCCTCGTGACTATATTGTACAGTTGAAATTAACCTGTTCTTAATTTTCATTGATTAATTATTTCAATGCTCAGACATATTATAGACTGTTAATAGTTATTTATTTGCCTATAATTTATTGTAATTGACAGGTTGATAAAACAGGTTGCTCACGTCACATCTACGTCGTCAAGCTCAGTTTGAGCATGCGCAGTGAGCATTCGCAATCAGGAAGTGAGTGCGAGTCTATGGGGTCGCTGTATCCTCCACTCAATCACACCAGCTGAGCCACTTGGTAAGCTGTAGTAAATGCTACATAATGGCAAGTAGAAATATTTTGGTTTAATTCAGTCATATATGTTTGAACCAGAAAAAGCAACCAATTGACAATTTGTCAGTTGTGATTAGCAAAACAGCTGTTTTAGAGTTGCTTGCTGTAGTAATTTAACAAACAACATCCTGCTCAAATTTACATGACTTCTAGGCTTAGAAATCATGCTTTTAAAATGAATTTAAATCAGCCCCTTTGGAAGATTCTTGAGGTCACCTGGTTAAGAACCACTTTCCAACTGTGGCCGATACCAAGCTATTAATTGTTGTCTTTTTTTTGTTGACGCATTGTTTGAGATCCAACAATAATTGGCAGACCCCCTGTAGTGTTGCCATAGGCCCCCTGAGGGTCACACACCTCCTGTTTCTTTTGCTCACATCTGAATGTTGCACAACTTCCAATTAAAGTGTTAGAATGGGATAATGATGCTTGACCTTCAGCTAGCCACAGGGAAGAAGTAGTGAGCAAAGTTTTTACTCAAGAAAATGGACTAACTTTGAAACTGTATATACGTTTGCAAAGGTAAAGAGGGAAAGTTGATCATTTCTCAAGATATTTGCTTAAAGTGTACTGATAATTGTGCTTTCTTATGTGAATTGTATTCTTTCGGTTCTATTGTTAGTTGATTGCAAACAGGTCCAGCTCACCAACACAGCATTTAATTAGT